TTTGATTATATAAGTAAAACCATTCTTAATCTCAATTTGATATCTCTCATCATCAAGAACTCCTAGGGATATGAGGGTTTCTTCTTAAGGCTGGAACATATCTAGTGTTTTTCAACAGTAGGTGATGGCCATTTTTGAATTTCAGCAACACATTGTCAATTCCTTTAACATGACACACCTCATCATTCCCAAGTTTAACTGATCCTTCACTAAGGTTAGAATAATAAGATAGATAGTCAATATTGGGTGTCATATAGAAGAAACAACCTGAATCTAAGATCCAGTCCTGTTCAGAATTTTCAGTTAAAGACACATAGGCAACCTCAATATTCACCCCTACTTCTTTATAATTGGAAGTGGTGGCAGTAGAAGCATTTTCGGTATTAGACCCATTCTTTTGGTCATTGGCCTTTTTAAAGCAGTCTTTAATAAAGTGCCTAATTCTACCACAGTAGAAACATTTCTTGTTATTGTCCTTTCCTTTATCTGGTTTCTTGTCATTTCCTTTAGCATTATTCCATTTTCTCCTGACAAAGTTTTTATCCTTGTTGAAATTGGAATGACTGAAATTACTCACACCCTTAGTATATGATTTCTGATTTCTTCCCATACCCTCAACATGGAACACCTCTTTGTGTTCAGATTTCAATCCCAATTCTCTGGTCAGAAGGGAACTATGAATTATATCAACAGTAAGATCACTCCTTCCATACTTTAAGGCATTTCTAATATCTTTATATTTACCTCCTAGAGCATTGAGAAGACCTATTACCTTCTGATCATTAGAGATCTTCTCCTCACAGTTTGTCAAGACTTGGGTTATCCTATTGAATCTATCCATATTCGCTTCAACATCAAGACTATGATCAAACTTAAAACCAAAGAAAAGTCTCCATAGAAAACATTTATTTGGTAAGGATTTGCCGAGGTACAGTTTTTCTAAGGCAGTCCAAAGTTCTATAGCAGTAGTGGTTTCTCCTACTTTCCTAATCACAGAATCAGATAAGTGCAGAAACATAGTACTCCAAGCCAATTCATCTTGTTCAGTTTTCCTATCTTGAGATAGGGTTTCTGCCCAAGATTCATCAATGGCCTTTGCACATTTTAACTGTAGCATGAGAGCCTTAATTTTCTGACGCTAGAGACTAAAGTCTCCTTTGCCATCCCAAATTTGAACATCTACCTTAGAAGTCATGGTGTGCAGTAGTGTGATCAGTGTATAGATATGATATATCCAAGGATTATCACAACAGATAAAATCAGATATGTAAGTTTTACAAGACATCTGTAAGAATGATTAATCAAATCAATCAACAGAATTGGTGCAGATATTCAGATATGCTCACACACAGTAAGTTGCAGGGTATTAAAGAGAATGTACCTCCAGCGAAGAACAATTTCAAGACAAACAATAATGTCAACCAATTCAAAAGTCAGTACATATTAACAGTGTATATATATATATTAACAGTGTCTAGGAATCTTGGTATATCTCTGTATCTACAACTGCCAGAAAATTGTAACAGGGTTTCTTGAATTGAAGCCCTAGTCCCCTCAGATTCTAGGGTTCTCTCAAGGATCCCTAGACAAAGGTAGAGTTAGGGAAAATTCACAGAAACCCTAGGTTTTTTTTGAAAAACATGTTTTACCAGAACCTTTAACAAAAAAATGCAATTTGCGTATATATATACATATAAGACTGAGGCACCATCAAGAAAACAGCACGAGTTTAAAGGAACCCCAAAAGGTTTTCAAAAAAAAGAAAAGGCTCAAGATCAGATCTACGCAGATCTGGAAATTTCTTTTAAAATAGGACATCCATACAAATCGAATCAAGCTATCCCAAGCTCTGATACCACTGTTGGTCCCAAACAAGTTTGTAAAAAACGATTTGTAACAAAACCACAAGAAAAACAAAACAGAATATCAAGAATCATAACACGCAGAATTTTTGGCCTTAGGCCCCGAGGATCAGTGACCTTTCAGACGCTTACATCCCCGTTGAGCATCCGTTTAAGGATTAAGCTCAAATCTACTAAATCGCCCAAAAATGACAGAAAAATAGAGTTTACAGTACACGACTCAAAACATCAATGAATCACTCAACCAACTTCTCCCAATACTCATGAACTCACACAAGAGATCATAGATCTACTCTCCTATCTCTAAAAATCACACAAAAAATATAGAGATCTATTTTACAGAGAGAAAAACCTAAAAGTCGAATAACATAGAGAAAAAGTTGCGCCCTAAACTGAGAACACTCTAACCCTAAAGACGAAAATGGTATATATACTTGTTCCAGAATCTTCAGTAGGTTGGACCGCCTTTTGGGCCAGAAACTTGGGCCAGACCAGCTGCTATTTAAAACGGGCCTCTATTAAAAACAGCAAACAACTAACACCTCCCATATAAACTATTAAGAAATTTTAATATAAAAAGTATAATTGACAGAATTGGTGAAGGACAAAAATCTCTTGCGAAAATCTTCCTATATTTTGTTGGTCAATGTCCAATAATTAAAGAAGGAAAATGAGTAGAAGAAGTTGGAAAATATAGAAAACTCGACCTTTCACAAATTCAGTTTTAAGGTAAGTTACAACGTCTCTTTCCTTAAGATGTTATTTGCTCCCATCAATTATGTGATGCACTCGAGAACACAAATACGTCTCTAGGATACAATGAAGTCTTAATGTTATTTGTGTTGCACGAAGACTACTCCAAACACCAAAGACGTAAACAATACGCCTCCATTAATTTTTTGAATGTCATTATTTATAAGAAGTATTTTACATTGTTGATTTTAGTGTGAAACAGTCATGGACGGATTCTTTAAAAGAAAAAATCTTGTAGAAAATGTTGATGGAAAGATATCAAATAGAGTGGATTTTGTAATTGAAAAACTTCCCATCAATCTTGGATCAAGGACTCCAATTTTGGATTACAATGCTAAGATTTGAGATCAAGTTCGAAGAGAATATACGTAAAAGGGTACTTATGTCCACAAAATTCATTATCTACTTTTGACAAAAGAAAATCGATTCAACTTGTTGAGTTTTATCGAAAAGGTTTCTCAACAATAAATCTCTTAGACACTTCATGATCAACTTCAAACTTATGTGCTCTAACAAATAGTTTGAAGGAATGGCCTTAGTAATATCATAGATAAAGTCATGACAAAGAAGGTGGAATATACCCATTGGTTTACAAGCTTTCGATATGGTCTGTTGTTTTGCAAGCTTTTGATATGGGCATATGGCACTAAATCTTCTTGTTGTTACTGCTACCGTAGAGAGTATTTTTTGCAATGAACATTGTGAAAAATGGATTGTGCAATCAATAAGAGATTAGCATATGAATGATAGCCTCATTATTTATATTGAGAAAAAAACATATTTTGAAAATTGATAATGAAGTCATTACATTATACAACATATCAACGTATGAAAACTTGCAAGGAAGAATTAAACAATTATAAGGCATTTCATTTTTAATATTGTTGTGTTATTACATTGTTTTTATATTTTTTACCTTTACCTGTGCTGGTAGTAAGAAAACATGAATGTTAGAGGTAAGAACAACCCGTTCATGATAATTGTTTTCCATATCATATATTTTGTCATGCTAATATTTAATGTCATGTCAATGATCATCCTCGGTTGGTGAAACAAAGAATAATATTATTCATCATTAGTGGTAATCATCAGTGGACATTCATTGTACACAACATGAGGACTACTATTTAGGTGATGATCAACACTAATAATGAATAGCGTTATTCAAAAACAAATGGTGTCTTAAAAAGGAAAGTTCTAGTTTCAGTTCAGTTGATAGTAACCATTTGTGCTAAGTGACAAGATTTAAATTATATACGTGTGATCCTCTTTAACATTTTTGATCAAGTGGTTCAGCACCATCTGATTGAATAGTTCGATGATGAACATTTGTTCTGGTCATAATTGGTCCTACCTTTACCAACAGCCTGGTTTTTGGGCCGCAGTGGGTAGCTTGCCTTAGTAAGCTTTATGTTGGTAATTGGTAGAACCAACCTCGTTTGTTTGCAAATCAGATTTCTCCCAATCATTTTTGGATTTTCTTATAGAACACAAAAGATGAAAGTAGTTATTTTTAAAGTAAAACTTCAAGATCAACTACCCATCCAATCCAACTAAGAAAAGGCTTCCCAGTACTGTTCGCAGGGTTCCACCCACATAGATTGCAATGAAGCGTAGGATATATTAAGCATATTTAAATCCTAGCTTAATTCAATCAAACTACTTCCGCAATTGTATTCGCCAACATAAATTCAGGTTTCTTGTAGCTATAAGATTACTTTCTTTTGGACATTTGTTAAGTTCATTGATTATGCTTCTCTCTCACAAGAGTTTTTCATTCTGATTTGGGACGCGAGTGACTGAAGCTGGAGAAGCAGGGCACATGCCAGTTTACTGAAATCCTGATCTAATAATTTGGCATGTGCCCGGACTCTGCGGCTACGGCCCTCTGCCATGGAAATACTGCTCCAGCTCAGAGAGAGCAAGCATTTCTAGAGGCAATAGAAAGTTACAGTAAGCTACTCAGGAAGTAGTATGCATGCCAAGCATTCACAGAAACTAAGTATTTTATCAATGAGAGTATATCTGCATTTGTATGCTTTGTTCCAATGATTTACAGGTTGGCGTCTTGGTAAATTTCTCCAGAGAATTGTTATAAGCAAGCTGCTCTAACCTCTTGAGCAAACTGTGAATTTCCTTGAACAAGAACATAACAAAGTAGAAGTTCCTCCTTTTAAGGACTTCATTCTTCTTATATACGAAGTATTTTCATAGATACATTATCTATGAAGGAGATGGCCCGCTTATAATCTGAAAAATGAAATAGATTTAAGGTGTCATAAAATACGAAGTAAGAAAATGAATCAATTACTTATAATTTAGATTGCTTAAGCAGAAGTAACATATACCATTCCATTCTTTTCGAATAACATAGAATCAAACCAGCTATCTATTTCCCAATGCTAGTGCTGCTGAATCCACATGAGCAAGCAAACAAGCATAAACTTTTTGCTTCAAGCTATCAACAGTCTCCAGCAACCCATTTTTCTCTGCGCTCAACTTGCTTCTCAGTTTATCTAACCATTCATTTGCCTGCTTCAGCTGTGACAATGCAGTAGCAATGTGGTTGTTTGGTTCCAGAAAACGTGCAAAGCTTTCCTTCCCTTTATTTTCTTGATATTCTAGCTGGAAGCCAACATCAAGTGCTCCATCCAAGAATTTGAGAAACCAGGATTGTGATTCATGTAGAAGAATCTTCCTAAGTTCCTTAATTTCTGTGGAACCACCTCCCTTTGACCATTCTAATTTATCAGCCCCGCTAAGCTCTATTGAGGGCTTTGGAGTTCTTGTCATACTGCTCCCGAGTAAGGAACCTGATTTTCTGTTGGATTTCTCTTTATCTTCCAACGATAAGTTCGTTGAGAAATTATCTGATACATCCTTTGTTAGAATTGTAACATCATCTTTTTCAATAAGTCGGTAGAGAGTAAAGAACTTGGTAAGGTAGATATGGGGGTTTTCTGGCGAGGCAGATGAACAAAGATAGGCAAACATGCTGAAAAACCAGAGAAGAAACGAAGATGTGAAGAAAATTTAGTCGTTTAAATCCAACTCTTCTCACGTGTAGTCAATAGTAATAAATATGTTGCTCAAACATGTATGATGACAGATGAAAATTTAAATCAACCTCTAAACTTGCCTTAGGCACTTCACAAGATTTTCTGCTGCAATTGCTTCTTTTTGAGCTTCCGCCAGTACCAAAGAAGCTAAGTTTCTCCTCCTAATCATTCCCTTGTAATGATAACGGCCAATGACGAATATAAATACATTGATATAAATTAAATCAATACCGTATATATTTTATTAACTGCTTCAGTGCTTGATACATATGCTAGATGGTCAAAATTAACATAATGAGATCACGTAAATCTTATAAGCCAATTTTTTTCCCCTATAGAACATATAATCAGCTTAGAATGTTCTGGAGAAGCATATGAACGACAATGCAGTCGCACCACTGCATTGGTGCTAAAATTGACGAGCAAGTTCAATGAGTTGATATTCGGTTAGAGTATTGGATATTTACACAGATGCTCTAGGCAAGAAATGTACCTTTCCAGGTTTAAGAAGATTGGCTGGCAATTTGGACCAAGATATTGCCTCAGGAGATTGCTTTTTATTGCTACTACTTGACAAAAAATTCATGCCGATGCTTTCTTGTTTGACTGGGCATTCCACTGCTTGAAATTTTGAAGATGTCCGGGCCACCATGGTTGTAAAAGCATCTATATCTAAATTTTGTGTTGATGCATCAGGACGAGTACGGGAAGGACTTGATGGCCGTGTCTGTAATGCAATATTAAAAGCTTTCAGCTGGCTTGGATTTTTAAGCCAAAAGAACCCACGCAAATTATTCCACCTTTAGAAATTGGAAATTCTTTTTTCTGTTTCAATCCATTACAATCTTGCAGTCCACAGGAAGAACTGGGTATTCAAATTTGCACCCACCAATCAACAGAAAATGCATACTAAGAAAATCAAATCACTTGGCATTCACCAATGACAGAATTATTTAATTTGCATAATATCTTCTGTTAATAGCATACATGATGATTGAAGAAAAGGAAGAATATGGCAGGATTATTTCATCAATTTATGTGTTGTACATTTTCAGAACAATGCCATTAAAATGGAGATTTCTTTCTATTCCAGATTCGGCAACATAATATGTGCTCCTGGTAACCGTTTGATAGAAATGTTAGCAGCAAATTGTTTGGTCATGGTCCTTGCCTGATACTTGGGAGACTCAATTTCTATTTACAAACTTACACTTGAAAAACACACTTACACTTTGTCTGGTAGCTTTTGAGAAGGACCACACAATGGAAGATGATTGAAAAATTACATGTAATGAGGTGATTGAAAAATATCAGAGCCTTGTAGATTAACTTTCAATATGACCTTAATAGAGTAGGCCAGAAGTAGACCTATCATTCTAAAGAAATTGAAGAAAAGGAAAACTGAAAACACAATAAACATGGGACCTTGATGAAGGATTAACTGCATTATTGAGATAGAATGCGCGAAAGGAGAAGTCTTTAAAAGGAAGAATCAAATATCTATGACTCAAAATCCTTACCTGACTTTTAAGCTCGTGTTGCTTCCCTTTCAGAAGTCCAACCTTTTTGCCTGCTGCTCCGCCATTCTCATTCTCATTTCTTCTTGTACCATAGTTTTGATCTGCTTCTCTGAGTTTTGTATTTGGTGTTAACACACCGAGCATATACCTAGAGGCAACACCTGCCTTCTCCTCTTTAATTACAAGTTTCTTTTTTGCACTTTCCTCTTTTGCTTCAGCCGACTCGTTCAATTTCGAATTGGCAACACCTTCCTGATCAACTTGAACAGGGCTATCTGATCCTGATGCCTCTAACATTTGCATTAAATCCTTGGGATTGCCGATGAAAGGATGTCGCCCCGGAATAGGCCTAACACCGACCAATATAGGAACTGGAGTTCCACCCTCCATCTTATCAACATAGAAGAATTGCCCAAGTTGCAACTTATTATTTAAGATAAGCTCATTGTCTTTCTTCGAAAGTGATACATAGGTCGAATGAGAAGAATCGGATACTTTTATGAAAAATCCATGATCTGGCCACAATTCTGATCCACTTATGGCAGGCACCATGCTAATTACCTGTAACAGGCTGGACCTATACTCGCCGCGAACTTTTATATTGGAATTAATACTCTGAAGAAGTTTAACTAGCACACCAGGTGTAAGAGATGCCATTTTTCCCTGTTTCAAAAGATGACAGCTTTTATTAATTACTCGTCCAAGTCAAGCCCGAGAACTTGGATCGATCCGTATACAGCAAAATAGGACAGAAATTTCGAGCAGTGATGAAGCGTAGCATACCTGAGAGGAACAAGAAAACAGCAAAAACACAGATTTTTTAGAGTGAGAGGGGAATCAAAAGCTTGAAAACCAAATGATGGGGTAGCAAAATAGTGGGCGACCACAAAGTGCGTATGGTTTTGCCTTTGTCTTTACATGGGAGGCACGTAGGAGAGTCCAACATCCCCTTGGCTTTTAAGCCAAGTTACAATGAGAGAAAATGAGCCCACGTTGTCCATTAATTCAAAATCACGTCTTTATCCTCACAAGGAAATAATGCCTTAGAAATATTCTTCCCATTTTGAATGGATAGTATAGTCATTATGTCAGTAATTGTTTACAGGTTGCATTTCTATTTCCAGGAAGAGGAAATGGAGCTATTTTTTAAAGCTGGAGAAGTCATAACATCCCAATCAATTACAGAATAACCCACCAAGAGGGTAAAATGTGTTATAATCTTCTTCAACCAAGTCAAGTCCAAGTAGGTTAAAAATGCTTTCCAAGGACTGTCAAACGATTGCAGTTCCCTCGTTTACTTCTATTCAAAGTTAATAAAACTCTCGAGGTCCATGAATTCAGGAAAACTGATTGTGTCTAGATTTTGGACTATACACAAGCTGATGGTCAAGAACAACAATAAGATGCACATTTTCTGATTACAGCTAGCTAGTGAGCAATGGAAACTGGTGCTTCTGCCCATAAACTTATCAACAGGCTTTAGTAAACCACGGTTTCAGATGAGTCTATATGGCACTTGTGGGCTCCCCCTAGAGAAGAACTTTATGATCTTTTATCACAGCTGAAGTGCAAGAAGCGTTGTGTTCCTCATTGCCAACCCCCAATTGAAAACTTTTGAGGTTGAACGCAATTTGCACGTCTAATTGTCAACAGAAAATATGCATTGATATTAGACATCAGCAAGTCTTGTGGCGGTGAATCTAAGTTCCACTAGCAATCAAAATGACAACAAAATATGAAGAGGAGCATAATCGTATTGATCTTTATGCTGTAGATATTTGGTCCTAATACGAGTTCTCTAATACACATCTAGTTCGATCCTTAATTGCAAGAATGAATACTTTAACTACCAAAATCACATTGATGTTCCACAAATTGGAACCATACACTCAATACAATAGACATCTTAATATATTTGAACTACTCCAAGAAATAACTAAAACCTCAAGGATGATCATAGAAGTTCATAAAGATATACAACGTACTAGCAGATCTAAAATGAAGAACGTTTTCCACTTTGATGGGTTAGGAAAGTTTTTTTTTCTGAGAATGATTTATTTATACGAATCAAGGGAGTGAAGCGCCCAACCAGGAAAGTTTGTTCCGTGGACCCACTCCAAAATATTGTGAAGGTCAAAAAAAAAAAGCATCAGTTCGAATCAAATCACGACGATCCAATTCACTTCCCACGAATATATATATATATATATATATATATAGGTAGGTAGTGCCTACTTCAACTATTTGCTGGCATATTTATTATCATGAGGAAGGCAATTCCAAGAGTTTTTACAGTGGACATTTGTTCTTGAAAAGAACTATTTAGGCTATAAGTCTCTTCCCTCGCTCCAGAATGACGATAACGAGAAAAACAATCTTGGACCTGTAAAATCAGAATAAGTGTGCCAATATTAAATTGTTAATTAGAATGTCTTTTTTAAGAAAAGGAATGAATTTCAATTGTGCACAAAGTTGTGCAGCAAGCACACGTATTAAGGTAGGAGACTTCGCTGAACTACATAAATTTGAAATGTTGGCAATGGCATGCATGTGCAAAATCGAAGACGTTCAGGGACATAATTCTGGTTTTACTTAATGAGAGTCAAAGTTGTAAAATAACCAACCAATTCAACAACTGTACTCAAAGATCAAGACAACTGTCCTAAGTGTCTCTTTTATAATTAAATAAAGGTGGGTCTGGAAATAACTCCATATAAAATTGTTTGAAAATGAAAGGAAAAGGAAACCAAATAGTAAGCAATCTTGAGTTAAGGCAGAAAAATATGAAATCATTCGGGCAAGATAAAACTAACCGAACTATATTTCTATGCTAAAGTTATTCTGATCATTGTGCTCAAGGGAGCTAAATTTATCTTTTAGCTTAAGTAGATAGATTCAAATATAAGTTAGTGCCAGATGTCAATAGACCAGACAAAATTATAGGTGTTAGAAGCAGAAATGAAGTCATTAAGTGCCAGCCAGGAGCAAGAAAAGTTTTTGGTCTCATCACCAGTGTCTCCAGGTTGTCAAACCAAACCAAGTGCAACTCATTAACCTCTATATATCTTCAATACAAGCAACAATGTCAAAACATGAAGAGTACTATGCTATGATTTGCATATTTTTTCAGCTGAATATTTATTTGCTAATTGCAGAAAAAGAAACGGTAATAGATTAGTTGCAGACGATTTAAATGAATACATGTAGCCCCTTTCTAATAGCTCAAGCTTTTAAATGATTTGGACCACCAATTTATTATAAACAGTGCATGTTTTAGGCCTTTGATGGTAAAAATAAACTCAGCCTGCATGTGAGGGAGCATGTTGAAACACAATTTAAATGAATTAATGTAGCACATCTCTATTAGTTTAAACTTTTAGATGAATTGGTTAAGAATATTGTAAAGTCGCCTTTAGTTGTGCTTCCAGACAAGTTATCCTCCCTCAGTTTGAAGTTAGCTAGAGGTGCTGAGATATAACCGTGTAAAGATTGAAATGTGAGAAGAAAAGGCAATAAAACTAAATTTTAGATCTAGTATGTTTTATCCACTAGTGTGAGCAATTATAACAAAGAAATCACAGGGTGGCAAGAATCGGAGAAGAATGGTGTGATATTTATCTGAAATGGCTGAAGTTGAGAGGAAAAGTGAATAAGTGGACGGAATCATTGTTGAAGAAAAGAGTGAGAATTTGGATCCAGAGAGGTGAAAGAGGACAGTTCAAGGATGATTTTGTTTTTCAACATAAAATGAATTGAGAAAAGAAATTTAAGACATAGATCCATTCTCGGTCTAGATTCCATTTCGCCCTACATAAAGAGATCTTTAATATGAAATCCTAGAGAGCAATATGCCAAAACAAAACTGAGCCACAAACAAACACCATCCACCAAGACCTCTCTTGTTCCTCCATATGCAGGCACCCCAAAAATGATAATGTATTCTGCCAACTGAAATTGTTTTGAATGCTTGTACACAAGTCAAAGAGGGAGGGAGAGACCATCTTTCAAACAAGATAATGGTAAGATGAAAAAAATGATAAACTGCGGTTCATGTGAAAATGAACTGTAGAATGCCTTGTCACGAAAAGAGCACGACAAATTCAATGATCAATTGATAAGTTTCAGCTTACCCTTCTAATGGTTTCAGAAAAATATTTCATCTGATAATATCTGTGGAGAAAGAGCTACACAAAATACTAAGCTACACAAAATACTAACACACATTGGACCCATATTGTACATAATGTTAAAAGAGAGTAGACTACTAGTTGCCTAAAACTGTTTCGACTAAACCACGTGACCAAGAATGTCATTGATTTTTTGAAAAACAAGCCGAGAAAGGGAATTAAAAAATTGTGGAGGGCGCATAGGACACAAGCTTGGACAAGTTTCCAGGTAAAAACAAGCAAAAAGATGCCATCCTCAGGAGTGAATAGATTATAAATATCACTATGGCTAATGGCTGCAAAGAATAACAGGAGAAACAATATGTATATGGACCAGTCTGAATCATCTTGATGTTTTGAAAATGCATTAGCCATTAACTGTCTTTGTTTTATATGGACCAGTCTCAAATAAAACAGAAGTGGGAAAACTTGGTATAATAAATAATTTAACCGGACAAACAGGAATCATACATATAATGAAACATCAGAATTCACCTCTGTTCAATAAAAAGCTAGCCTTCATTGAAACTATCATCAGAAGGTTGCCCTTAAGAAAATCTCATTCTAAACTTCCTCAGATCTTCTGATGACTGGTTTGCAGAATCACTTCCATCTTCTGTATCATCATCTCCTTCAGATGTGATTGCAGAGATCCAGCCAACCAAACTCCCTGACCCACGACTTTTTCTACCAAATATCAATAGCCATTTGAATCCCCTCATCATATCCGTACGGGGTAAATTATTTGAAGAATGGGCCACAATCATCGGCTTCTGAGCTGTTCCACGTTTCTTCCTCATTCGAGCTAGGGTCTCTATTTGACTTAAAGACTCTGAATTCCACGAGGTAGGACCTCCTGCAGGATGTCCATGGCTGCATTGACATCAGACATCTCATGAAGAGAAAAGGGATGTTGAGTACCTGAGTTCCAAAACATAGGACTTTCCCCAGGCCAATCTTGCATTAATTCAACAGGATGTAAGGTGTACAGCACGTCAGCACCTAAAGCCTGGTCCACTTCAGACAATAACCTCATATCATCACCATTTTCTGATCCAGAATTCTCCCACTTCTCTAATTCCAGGCTCAGTCTTCATTCCCCACTGTAACCTTCGAGGTTCATGGTCTTCGAATCTTCCTCTCTACGTCTTTAAATCTATTTACAAAGTCATCCGGGCCGGAAGCCAAGTCATGATTTTCTTCTTCATCATTTGTAGGTTTGGATGCCATAGACATCTTCTGTGTAGTAATATTTGCTCTGGCAATGAAGCTCGTACGACTACCTTTTTTAAGAAAAAGGTTTGATTTGAACATGTTCAACACTTTCTAGTCAAACTTAATTGGCATCAGAACATCACCATCAAAGTCCAAAGGAGCTATCTACCTGAACTCTCTGGGATTTCCAGAGATTTCCCTCAGTGATTGTGATTGGCCTGACTTCTCTTCCTTGATAATTAGTGATTGTTCACTAGTGCTCTTGCTACGGGCAGTTTCTTACTTCTAAACGAGTAGTTTTACTGGCTCCAGAAGCAGGCTTGGTATTTTCTTTCTGAAGTCAGAGAAGTTGGGGACAGATTGTGCAAGAGGATTTTCAAATTGCATTTTTCGCCTTCCAGAACTGATACTGGCACCTTTCATGGAAGACCTTGGAACAGTAGTTGCTGAAGTGTGAGGACTAGATGAGGAAGAACTTCTGTGGAGCAAAAGCTTCTTATGCTGCGAACTCCTAGAAACACCATTCCCAGGAGAGGTCTCATCTGAAACTCTATCTTCCTGAAGATGCTTCAGCTTCAGAAACTCCAAGACGGCATCATCATCATCAATATCCCCAAAATCTTGATGTTTCTGTCAAAAGAAAACTTTTACAGTTGGTTAAAAATCATAGAAGATGAACTCCAGTAAATTTTAATAACAAAATAGATCCAAAGATTATTCTTCGAATCATTACTTCCATGTAAGTCAAAACATAACTACAAACTACCTTCTCACTTTGCATAATTGACCTGGAATTAAATGATCTGAGTCTCTCAGCCGGTCGATGAGCACTGGATATTGAATTCTCCCTATCTGCATATCCATAAAATTTGATTTTCATCTCAGCTCTACTCTGTTCAAGGATATCCTGCATGGCCTTCAATCTGGCTTCTTTATCTGCTCGGTTGGAACTCCATTCTTCCCTTAGTTTTGCATCTCTTTTCTGCATATAACTAACGTAACATTTCCCTCGAGAACCTTCAGATACACTGAGCTCCGCAAAACTTCTATTTAGAATATCATCATGCTTCTGGCTCCCAACCCTTTTCATGAGATGAGCAGCTTTCAACTTGGTCATGGTTTTAGAACTAGCAGCAGATTCAGTTAATATGTAAGTGTCAAGCAATTGAGGAGATGCTACATCATCTACTGGTTTCATGTAGGATAAACTTGCTACAGACTCATGTTGTGTGTCATCTGACCTGGCTCTACCAGAAGAATCAAAATGATCTCCAAGGACTTGTAGTTTATGCTCAGCTACGAGCTTTTCAAGTTCATTTGCATTCATTTCCAACTGATCATTGAGTTCCTGGTTCCCTTCCGACCCCCTAACCTTTTGAACTTGCTCCGAAGCTGGTTTTAATAATGAGTCAAAGCTTTCTTGTGTCTTTATCAATTTACTAGAGACTGGTGTTCGACTATTTCCATAACCAAAATTGCTTTCATCTCTCCGAACAGAGGCCTTCGTGGTCTGTTCAGGAGCTGAAACTTGTATCTGGAATGCCATTCTCTGGGGTCCAGAATCTTCTGCAATTGATGCTGAACTACCAGATATTTTCATAGACATGGCAAATTTGGTCTTTTCAACTTTCTCTCTTTCTCCCAAGGGTCTTCCCTCATGCTGAGAAGACAAAGAATTCCCTCCAACCCCTCCTTTATACAGAGCAGAAAACGCTTCTCGAATTCTTGAATCAGGGCCTTCAAACAGCCCAGAGTCTCCCATTGTATTCTGAGTAGCCTTGTGTGACTGTGTAACACATATGCCTCTTGATTCAAACCATTCCTTCTTATCTGAAATTTCAACCTGCCCATTCTGTGGAGCACACTGACATTTCGACCCAGTAACCTGAGTCTCAGATGCAGCTTTCCCTTTTGCACCCCCGTGTTCTTCACCTTTGTGAGAATCCTTCAACTCCCCTTCACCAGGCAAAGAGTTGACCTTGTCAACTGAATTTTGTTGATCCTCAAACCTGCTTATGAAAGATCTCGACTCAGTCTTCCCACATATTTGATCTTTACAACCATCACTTTTACCAGCACCTTCCTTAGAACTAGACTTACTGCACTCCAAACCACCTTCTGACCTGCTAAAGCAAGCATCTTTTAACCCACTATCACCAGCCCGACCAAGGACAATTTTTGGGCCCGATTTAATATAACTAGTTGCTGTGTCATTTGAACTACAAGCCTTTTTCTCCTCGGAAGACTTTGTCTGAGAAACCAATACAGATGACGCAATGCACAATGGTGTCTCAATATCCTTCTCAGAACTCAAGTCAATGCTAATGTCACTGGCACCACTCCATCTCTTCAACATTGCCTTCTCCAATGCAGTGGCTGAGGGTGAGGACGCATCAGATGACATCCTCGGGAGCTTGACAGACTTTGTCATAACAGGCTTCCCTCCACTTCCCGAATACTCCTGCTGCTTGTTCTCAAACAAGCTAATCCTGTCCTGCACGCTGAGTCGCCTTGCCGGCTGACTAACATGAGTCGATTCAGCATGCTCAAGAGTTGTGCTCTCTTCTTTCTTCCCTTCGACAGCAGCGGTGTTGTATTGTTTGTCTGAGTTGTTTCTTTCCATGCTGGATTCTCTGCGGAAAGTGCACCGCAAGAAGAGTGGGGCCATGGGCTGCTGACACATGGGTTCTTGGTGGGGCCTAATGGGTGGTGGGGATGGTAGGTCATCATCGATGGACATGTCCGACCCGTATGATGAACTGACAGCCTGATCATCAGGTCTAGATCTCCATGTGCTGATTAGGTCGGGCCTATTCTCCCACAATGATATGAACTTGCTGCAGGCTTCACTGGAACGAAAAATTGGTTAACAATAACTAAATGGTGTTATTTCAAAAGATTAAATACGAAGAATATATATTTGAAGTAACTGTTAGGAATATTAGGCCTAACTCCACCTAATAAAACCGGCTTATTAGGGGAGGATTGCCATCACCTTATTAAGTGGATCATTTATATTTTCCCAAATAATGTGGGATTTTAATAGTTAGCATAAAAAATTTCAATCCTAAGCAAGAACATTTATCGACATACCTTCTGTTCTGCTGTAATATTTTGTGATATTCCCTCCATTAGGATGCAGATCTATTAAAAGAATAAGTAGAGAAAACACCTCATCAGCAAGATATGGCAGCTAAATCATCTATTCCAGCTCAAGCAGCCACCGTGGATAATTGTGAATAAGAAGAGTCTAGAAGATGATGTGCTGGATAAACAGATTTGTTGTGCACATGCTTTCGGTTACATCACAGAATATTCCATCAGATTGTATTTATTCTTTGTAACAAATTTCACCTGCATTCCCCTTCACGTGTTGTATATATACATTGTAATTGTGATGGTATTAAAGAGAAGATATTCTCAGCAATTGTTCTTTGTCATATTTGCTCTTTCAAAATTTATATGTATCAGAGCCTATATGGCTGAATCAGATAATGAGTCCTCAAATCTTCCGCAAAACACCAACCAAACTCAAAACAACAATCCAACAGTTCATGACCCAACGCATTTCAGCAGTCCTTACTTCATTGGCAACAATGATGGCACTGGAAGTGTTCTGGTCACTCATACTTTAGATGCAAACAATTATCATCCTTGGGCCAGATCAATAAAGAGGGCTCTTAGGATAAAGAATAAACTGGGTTTCATAGATGGTAGCATTTGTGAGCCACAAAATCCGAACGATCCGATGATGGAACATTGGCTTAGGTGCAATGACATTGTCATTACCTGGCTGCAGAATA